CTCAGCAATTTTTTGAAAACAACTATTATAGCTTATATCGCCAAAAAGCTTAAAAATAGCGCTTTTCATGAAGTCATGGCCAACTAGGGTTTCCAATGAAAAACATATGATTGTATCATATGTGAAAAATGACAGGCTTTAGAAAAAACTGGAGAACACCATCTCATTAAGGATGTGATTAGACGCATATTTATGACCCCACAAAGCAGTAATTATTTCCCCATTTGCCCGACTCTCTATCTCCAGTAGCTTCCAATAAGATACCTCTAGAGAACATCGTACAAAACTTACCCTATATACAGAATATATACAGTATACTATATACTGAACATACAGCGTGGGTTTTATGCATGAATATGCATAAAATCGACGGAATCGACATAATGATTCCCCATGTTTGATAGTTTTTTTGACACTTGATACACAATGAATTGTGAATGTGAATTTTTTTTCTAAGTTAATTTTATGGTATTTATTCTACAATTGGCTTTGTTCAAAGGTTCAAAATTTCCTGTAGAAAATTTCGAATAATATTATGCCTGATAAAAAACCAGTATGTTAAAAAAAACGCTAAATAAACACACTTCAAGCGATCTTGAAATATTTTGATAAATTTCTACTTAAATTGATATTCAGCTTCCGATAAAATCAGATTGTCATAATATAAATTGGAAAAAAATATTACATGTATTAGTTGGTAAGAAAAATGTTAAGAATAACCCAGTTTGTTGTGTTGGCTTTGGCCATTTGTCATTTTGGTCAGGTGTTGGCCATGGAAGGAGGGGAACCAGCTGCTGAAGGCGAATTTCCTTATATGGTATCTATTAGAGACTCGCTTAATAAGCATATCTGTGGAGGCACAATTATTGGAGACATTTGGATTTTAACATCTAACATTTGCCATCCCAGAAGTTGGTATGGATATGTCAGGTGAGGATTTGGTTTTTAATTTTTTTAACTTTTAGGCAATTTTTAGCCGACTATACCAACAGGTATGGTAAGCTATTAAGATCGGCAAAAAAAAAGTTTAGTTAATTTCACTCAAAATTAGTTATTTGGATCGTAAATAACCTAAATACAAAAGAATTTCATGGTGTCCTGTCTGTCTGCCTGTCCGTCTGTAACACGATAACTCAAAAACCGCTAAACCGATTTTAACCAAATTTGGCACAAAAATACTGTGGCACTACATACTGGTAGTTTTTGGTTGGGGTGGGGGGTTGGTAAGGGGGTACGGGAGGGGGTTAAACATTAAAAAAAATCGTAATTCCAAAATTACAGTAGCTAGCGAAACGCGGTTTTCAATTTAAGATTAGGAATAATATTTGCAACAAAATTTGTAATAACATCAAAATCAGTCAAAGTCGCAGTTTTTGAGGTATTCCGTGTTTCCGTAGTCCGTTTTTGAGAAAATCCGTGTGGATAACTCCAAATTCCCATCGGACGCGACCCCAGGTGGCGGATAGGGGAAATAACCGCGGACCAAAATTGGAAAAATTCCTTTATTTTGAAACTAAAAGAACGTGCCTCCCGGAGCCTATTTTTTTAAAAATTCTACAATCAATTTTGCGTATTATATTACATTAAGTTTTTTTACTTGAAATTGCTAAAAAAAAAAAATAAAACTTCCAGTATACATAGAAGCCTCCCCAAACACAAAACCATACAAATTTCTCTGCGGAAATGCATCATTCTCTTTTTTCCGTCTTTAGAATAACTGAAATAACTTACATGAAACCGTGTTCCTACTTTACATTCTAAACACTTTTCTTGTGTAGGTATAAACTTAACCTAGTAGATACTGTAATTTAGACATCAATACGAGAAAAAAGTACCGAGAAAAAACGAAAATAAAAAAAATGATCCAACAAACCAAACCAAATCAAAACAAACCTAACCAAAGCAATCAAAACACGCTGTAAGCTAAAACCCGTCTGTTTGCGAATTCTAATTAATTGTCGAGTACTTTTTATCAACAAATGAAAATGGTACCCTTCCGCAAAATTTTTTTTGTGTCTATGTTTAGAAAAATTTCTAGAATGAAAAACAGAAACGTGTTTTCGTGTATCGTGTAACTGGTTTCAGCTATTCTAAATTTGAAAACCTGAAAATTATGTATTTCCTCAGAAAAATTTTCATAACATACTATTCTAGAAGGCTTCGAAATAATAAATAAACAAATATTTCTTACATAACTGATTTCAAGTAAACGAAACTTGAGCCTTAATTTTATCCGCTGGTTCCGATAAGGAAAAACTGGTAAATATCGGTAAACCGGTAATTCCATATTTTAATTTTTTATTAAAAAGGTTTAAATTACCGTTTACCGGTAAATTTCCGACTCTGAAGTGTTTGGCAAAACCACGTTAGACCTATCAGACCTAGGAGACATATCACCTTCGGACATGACAGCGTATGTTAAAAGGTTGGGTCTTGAACGTTAATAATTTTTTGTGAAAGCGTTTTGAAATTGATAATTTTTGATATTTATTTGAGATTCAAAATGACATTCTTTTAGGCACTAGTATCTAAAAGTGATACTTGTTTAGGCACTAGTGCCTAAAAGTAAAAAAGGAAACGTTAGAAATAATGAAAAGTGGTATCGTATAAGTTTTTCGTCTCGGGCACTAACGTGGATAGCGCAGTTTCAACAGCTTGTTGAATATCCAAAAACTCGTCATTATCACTAGTAGTGGGAACTATCGAATGAATACAATCGAAACATTCGATAGTTGCAATTCATTCGAATAATTCGATAGTTAGTAAGAAAACATTCGTTGAAAACTATTCGAATAAAAATTATTGAATAGATCCGTCATCTGCCTTGAAATATTGTATTCTAGTAATTCGGCAGCAAAAACCATTCATTTATAAAATTCATTCATTTATGAAATACATTCATCCGTCAGGATCGATTATAATAAAATATTAACTGAATTTTAGTTGTCGCCCGGCGACGTAGGTTTCTTTCCGAGAAACCCGACAGCGGTCGGTGGCAATGCTATGAAAGAAGCCGGCATCTTTGATTTTTTGCGGAGTCATATATAGATAAGGACACATTATTTTTTTTATTGAGGTGCTAGTATTTACACAGAAAATACATTATGAAAGGCGCTGTTGCCATATTTTGGTATTAGTTGATGTTAGCAAAGAATATTATTGTTTGGCTTTAGTTAATTAGGGATAGTATGTTTATATATTCTGCATTTTTTTATTAATATTCTGTTGTTACACTGCAATAATACTTGTTATTTTGAATGTAGGAAAATTATTTTTAATGTTTTTTAGCAAAGACTGGTTTAATAAATAATAATAACAGTAATAATTTGTTATACCTATTAACAACAAAATTTAAAATCATTTAATATAAATATTTTCTTTTAAGTAGTAGCAAAATATAAACAACAAATTAGATGTCAAAATTATTTATATTAGATCCTATTTAAAAATAATATAGTCTCTAAATGTTTTGGCAACGTTGGTTTATTAAATAATAATAATTACAGAACTAATTTGTTATATTAACAACAAATTTTTAAATCATGAAATATAAACATTTATTAATTTTCTAAGCATGCAGTGTAATGGAAGGAAAATATAAATAAAAAATTAGAAATCAAAATTATTTATATTAGGTGCTTTATATTACTATTTAAAAATTATATTTACTTTTACTGGCATTTACTTTAAAAAATAAATGAAATATTTTTTCTTCGCAAAAAACTACATGTAAGAGAATTAGCATAAACAAAATACAAACGTCGTTAACTTTTTTTTTAAATTGGCACGTGTAAAACTTTCGTTTTAATTTTCTCACCCCATAGTTTAGTTCAATAACCATTTACTTAAATATGATTATACAACCACATTACTTAAATATGATTATTAAGTTCAACTAATTCATATTATTAAAACATCTAAAATACAAATATGTATTTTTTAAATTAATTGTAAGTTCATCTCATCTCTCTTAAAAATTGCTACTTCTCAAAATGTCCCATTAAAAAATAGACCATATACCATATAAAATTAAATAATTGAAAGATCGGACTACGGAAAACCACACAAATTTTCGAAAAATTTTGACCACCTGCACATGCACACAATCGTCAATAAATAAAATTAAAAAATAACTACTATTTTAGTATTTTAACTATTTTAATAAACGCAAAAATAGCACAGTATTTATACGGCGAAGTTATAAAAATTTGGAAGAACTAATAATGCACTGACGCATACAAAAATCAAACGAATACTAAATTTCATTTATCAAAAGCATTCGATAGTCGTGACTCAACGATAACCATTTAGTCGCACGGCGAGGTTGTCACATATGCTTTAGTATACAAATGAATGAATGATTTTATTCGAATAAAACCATTCGATAGTTGAAATCATTCATTAACCATTCGATAGTCTAATTCATTCGATAGTTCCCATCGCTAATTATCACTCATTTTTTCACAAAACTTTGTAGAAAATACAGCGACGTTTGAACCTGAGAGAACTTTGTCATTAAATAATGCATCAACAATGCCTTAGAAACCGATTACCAGAACATTTTAAAAAATGTTTAAAAATAAATAATAATAATAGCATGAAAATCTCAAATTATCCGCTTTCACAAAAAATCTTGTATGAAATTCGTTGCATTGTCCAATTTGGCTTTCGCCTTGTTGGACAATTTGGCGCCCCGTGCTTAAAACACATTCATTTCGCAACTTGTTACATAAATAGCTATTTTTTAAAGAGCTTGTCTTGTCCCACCTGGGACCCGCTCTTAGTAAATGCAATACAAAAAAAACGATTATTATTTATTCGCTTTTGCTTATTTTTTATCTAATTTTTAGTAATAAACATTTTCTGTAGCAAACTACGAATAATATGTCTGATAAAAAACCAGTATGCTAAAACACACTTAAAGCGATCTTGAAACATTTTGATAAATTTCTACTTAAATTGATATTCAGCTTGCGATAAAATCAGATAGTACTAATATAAATTTAAAAAAAATATATATTACACGCCTCAGTTGGGAAGAAAAATGTTAAGAATAACCCAGTTTGTTGTGTTGGCTTTGGCCTTTTGTCATTGTGGTCAGGTGTTGGCCATAGAAGGAGGCGAACCAGCTGCTGAAGGGGAATTTCCTTATATGGTATCTATTAGAGACTCGTCTAATAAGCATATTTGTGGAGGTACAATTATTGGAGACGTTTGGATTTTAACATCTAGTATTTGCTACAGCAGAAGCTGGTTTGGATATGTCAGGTGAAGATTTGGTTCTGAAATTTTTTAACATTTAGAATTTTTTTTCAATAGTTCTACAGTCAGTTTTGCATATTGGATTGTCATATTATTTTTAGTATCTGTAACGCAAAATCAATACTTTTATTTATTAATATTAATGGTTCGCATAAAAATGGGCTCCAAAGAGACCAATTTTTATTCAAATATTGATGTTACTCCAGAAATTATTTGGAAAAAATCGAAAATGAAACTTCCACACCTTGTATCTCCGAAACTAAGCATTTTTGGACATACATTTATACATATTTTTATCTGCAGAATATGCTGCCGAAGTTCCCGGAATACAGTTCGGACCACTCTGTATAATGTTATACACCTAAAACTAATAGTTTTTGTAATATTTCAATTTGTTTAAAGAAATGTTGGATTTCAGTATGGTAAAAATTGTGGTAAAAATTGTCAGTGATGCCATTGTTTCTGAAATTAGACTACTAAAATTTGGTTGGGGAGGTTTATAGAGATGCCTACAGAGTGTTCAAAATATGTTTATGAATTATTATTAATTTCAATGAAAACGCAAACACCTAGTTTTCCTAACAAAATTTGGATAAACTAAAGTTAAAGGTTAGAATGATATAGATCCGGCAGAACTGGAACCTGGATGTAGGTTCATGAAACTGGATGTAACCCCAGATCCGATCAGACTCTTTTATAATACCGAATATCGGATCTACTCATTTCTATTTTTTACAGCTAAATTAATCTTTTCACCTCTTCAAATTATATATTTTTAAACTTCAAATGTAACAAAAAACTTAAATATTGACTGCTTTGTACACAGTTTTTTAAAGTTCCCGTTTTGTTATCATATTCAATTTTGGAATGTAAGGACTTTATTATTGTACTAAGTGGTGCATAATCTATTTTTGTTTTTTGTGTCCTTAACTGATAATCTTTTTTATCGATTAATATATAAATCATTACAGAAGTACCCAATTTTATCATAAGAATCACAACAAAATAATATAATTACACGTTATAACATTCTTTGGAAATACCTAGAGGAATTATTGCTATGTAAACTATGACGTTTTTATTTTTTCAGTAGCGGTTCGCAATAATTTGTGGAAAATTATTAATAAAAAGCCTTTAAAAATTTTAGATTAATCAAAATAATCTTTTTTTATTTCACTTCTTAATTTCTTTTCTTAAAAATTGTGTTTGAAAGACTATATACCTACTTAATAAGTATTTAATAAATTTTGCAAAAAAGGGTTTGAAAGTGTTGGAGAAATGTTAGGAATGGGTTTTAAGAAAAATTGGTCTTAGAAGGCACTAGATATGGCATATACTTAATGTATTTTTTATTATTTTTATATTTAAATATCGTTTTTATTAATGGAATATATTTTTGTAAAAACTCTCAAATTTTATTGAAATTAATATAACAATAGCATAAGAAGTTTAGTAATTTGACCTTCCTAAAAATGATTATCGTATTTTTATTTTTATATTCTCTTTTGTAAAGCATTAAATGCTGGAGCATAAAGTTAATATAATCTAAAATATGGACTTCTTTATATTGACAAGAGATTTCAGATTGTGAGTATTATTGCAGCCAATATAAATTGGAAGATTTTAATTTAATACTATCGTGATCTGGAAGTACTTCAAATAGATCATAATAACAAAGTATTAGGTAAAATACAAGATTGATATTGGTTTATTTTTATACAGATATGGATCAAATCTATTGGACGATGACGGTCAATTGCCTGTGAATACCAGTTTAAACATTGCAAAAGTAAATGAGTCGATATATAACAAATGGGCTACTGATATTCCACCATATACACACGATTTGAACTTACTTCGTCTCGAGGAACCTATACAATTCAGTGAAACGGTCCAACCTGTCCAACTGCCAGTTTTGGACGAAGAATGGCCATACAATCAAACAGCCACCATCTTAGGTATACTTATTTATATTTTGCTGTATTGTTTATTATACTATAGTTCTATAATTATTATACTTCTTTGCTAAACTTTACTTGCAACAAAGAGAAGGTTACAGGGTAAGCGTTCTTTTCCAAAAAAAATTTTAAAGTGTATTGTTTATTGTAGTGTTTGTGCTTTCAGTCTTTCTGATATTCGCTTACAAATTTAGTCTCAGTTCATTAGGTTCCTGTACTTATCTGATAATCTTAAATAGTCCAAAGTTACCAACAATTTAGTTGTTTGTTCAAGATCTTTCAAACTTCTTACTTAATATTAAGAGCTTGAAACCTTCAAAAGGAAAATTCCACACCTCCAACTCCCAGTGGATGGCATACTAAGAATGTACAACTTATGCCTAGAGAAGTGGATTAGGCAAAGAGAATAATAAGGGTGCAAGCCCACCAAGGGATAGAAGGCAATGAAAAAGAAAACAGTCTAGCTAGAAAAGGTTTCCCACGAACTGGACCCCAGAACCTTTCTTAATATGCCTGTAGTGGTAACCAACTTAAAGTAGAACTCAATAACCTGGAATACTCCAGCCGAAGCCTGGAATAGGAATTCTCCAACGGTCTAGAACACTCGAAGAAATTTCTCAGAACTTAAGATAAGAACAATCTTCGGATTGTCATGGGGTTTTTGTGTCTTCTCAATGAACACCTTAGTAGTTTGAAATTGCATCTGCCGAATGCAGATTCTATGGAAAATGGTGAAACGCCAGAACACCTCATCACTGAGTGCGCCGAAATAACAACCCTTCGTGTCGTAAACTTTGGTACCACTGATATCAGACATGGAGCTAATCTTTGCAAAACACTCTCAGAGACTGGCTTTTGTAAGCCCTGGGAATGTATGATGAGTTATAACTCAAGAAAGGGGGGGGGAGACATAATCATATCACAAGGTCTATAAGGTCTCTTGTATGCAAGGTGGTCCAAACTGTTTCCGGGAACTTAGCATATTCCGCAAATAAAAATAAGTAAAAAAGTTCGTATAAATGTATGTCCTAAAATGCTTAGTTTCTGAGATACTCTTAAAATACACTTACAAATAATTTTTGAAGTAACGTCAATGTTTGGTTGAAAATTGCTGTTTGGGAGTTTTTTGGCATGATAAATTTGATTTTGATCTTAATAATAATAATAGCTCCCGTTTATAGCGTTTAACGCCTTGGGGGTAGCAAGGTACAGCTTGCCATGCTAGAGCCGTTTGGTATACAGGGAAGGTAATGTGGCTAGCACTACGCTTTAATCGCTTTTTATTACCTCAGGATTGTGAATCCCAAGCACTCATTTAAGGCTGAGTCGAACTAGGTTACCAGTTTCGGAGATACAGGGTGTAAAAATTTCTTTTTTATTTCGATTTTATCCAAATAATTTCTGAAGTAACGTCAATAATTATATGAAAATTGGCGTCTTTGAGTTTTTTGACATGAGAAATTAAATTTTGATGTCAATATGATTCCTATTTGTAGGGGGCGTCACCTACATGTGTTTTAACTGTTTTAAAGAGTAAGAATTTTTCTCGTCCGTACCTGTATAAAACTAATGGGTGAAAAAATACTTATACATTCCCGTGATTTTTTACGCAAAAATATCTCTTGGTAAAAATTGCTACGAGCACCCGTTGTCAAGATATTTAGAATGGAAATAGTAAATACATGTCATTATTGCCAAAAAATAAACGCATGTTGAGTAGATAGTTATTTGACTGAAATTATAAATTAAGCAACTTTTTATTTTTTAAATTAATCATAAATTTTTCTTCGAAAAAATGTTGATAAAACAGTTTCTGTTGACCTTTGGGCACCATTTCAAATTTATGATTTTAGTCTAATAACCTTAATTTATGTCAGTGACATATTGATAATTTCGATTCCAAATATCTCGAGAACCATTACTTCTAGCGATTTTTACCAAGAGACCTTTTTTACGTAAAAACGTCGTAACTGTATATTTTTTTACTCAGTAAGAACATACAGGGACAAACGAAAAGTTCTTACTCTTCAAACCAGTTAAAAAATATGTAGGTGGCGCTCTCTACAAGTAGGAGTTACATTAAGATCAAAATCAAATTTATCATGTCAAAAATCTCCCAAACAGCAATTTTCATCCAAATATTGACGTTACTTCAAAAATTATTTGTAAGTGTATTTTAAAAGTATCTCCGAAACTAAGCATTTTAGGACATACATTTATACGAACTTTTTGATTTACTTTTATCTGCAGAATATGCTGCCGCAGTTGTCGGAATACAGTTCGGACCGCCCTGTATATTTCTCATCCCCCATTCAATCTACAATTTACTTAATATTATGAGTAGTAACTATATCTTTTTTATATTTGTAATCTTTCAGTCTTCCTTCCACAGTCAGTTGTCCTTAAGCAACAAATTTCTTTGAATCCAGATCATCTTAAAAGTTTTTTGATGTTTCTTACCGCAATGTTATCGTTTATCTTTAAGATATCATAGTAGTTCAAGTTTGTAGTCTCTAAACTGTCCAGTTGAACAACAGTGTTTCTATGAAACTTATTTCAATTATGTCATTCGTATCAGTAATAATATAACTATAGTACCTATATTCCATGCTTAACTTTCCTATATTTGTGCCAATCTATGTTATAATAAATAAATTAAATTTAAGGTTGGGGCCAACCTCATTATTGGAGGAGCCAGGTGCATCTTCAAAAGGCTAACGTTCCATTATTCACGGACCAGTATTGTCATGACTTCGAATATGAAAACTGGAAAATTCCTGATGTTTTTGTAAGTTCTCTTAAATTTTTGAAATTTTTTTGCTTTTTTATTTATAGGTTGTCTCTTTGAAAATTACTTTGATATATATGTATAGCAAAACGTCTATTTAGAGAAGTATTGTAGACCTATATTAATTCAAAACAATTATCGCATAGTTTTTAAAGAAAAATATTCATTTGAAAAACAAGACACCTTGAACTCTCTGTATTACGTTTTTAAATAGTTTGAATACTCTAATAAGGGAAATATGTTTTCGAAACAGTAAGCGTACGTGCTGGCGTGCAATTTTTTGTCAGCCAACTATTTGGTTGCAAAGGTGAAAACAATACATTCTTATGCAGCCGATCAGCCGACTATTTGATAGCAAGTGAGAGCAGCTCTATAAGAGTATATTGGTTTGAAATCTGCAACTAAATAGTTGGCCGACTAGAAATTACCTATCACAGCATAACCTAAGGCTATGCAATGTAGTTAAATAGTCTGCTGATGGGCTCTATAAGAATGTATGTATGTTTTCACTCTTGCAAACAAATAGTCGGTTGACAAAAAAAGTCCAAATGCTTGCCACGTTTAATGTCGCTTAACTTTATACGGGGCGTCTCAGGCTGAGCGTGCATTAGAAGTTTCTAGAGAACCATAATATCTAGATCGGAGATTTTTTGCACATCATTGTTTTGCAACGAGATCTATGGATTAAAAATAGTTTCAATATGGCGGCACTTCCGGAAATATCGGAAGTTGACAGCAACTTTCTTATTTTAAATGGGTGTCCCCATTTTTTATTACATACTTAAATTCTCTGTAAACTTTTAAGAATTTTGATATTAAACACTCTATATCTAGCATTGACCGTTTTTGAGGAAAAAATATTTAAAATTTTTGGACGAAAAAAAACTACCTGTCAAAATAATTTGTATAGCCTAAAAGTCAAATTTAGTGATTAATACAGCCACTGTGACATAAAGAAAAGACGTGGCTATCTATTTCAAAAATTAAATTGTTCAAATGTCATATAATAATGGCGGTAGCTGTCATGGAATTGAGCGATTCAAAATTTATAATAAATCATTTTTTTTTCAAATGGAAACCCACTTTTTTATTTCACTAATGAAAAGGTTATTCAATTCGTTACCTACTTTTTAACTATTAACCTAAACCTAAAATAAATCGTTTTTAAGTTATTTAAGATTTAATTTGAAAAAGTATATTTTTCTTCATTTTATCTAGCTTCCTTTGACATTAAGTCAAACGGCCAGACAATTTATTTCCCTCTATCAGAAAACGAATTATTTGAATTTTCGATATTCTAGATATTGCCTGCTTAAGTGATGAGTTTATTAAGTGTATTTATAAAAATATATCTCTATAGTCTAGTAGAGTCCTGGAAAGAACAATGGCGAGAGCATGTCCTGAGCACTGTTAAGCCCGCCCCTGCATCACCAAAAAACCGCCTGGGTACCAGCTGCCTTGCAAAACATGGTAATCCCTCAACAGAATACGCACGAACCACGGAAGATGTTCAGACTCTCTTCACAGATGGGGTATGATACCATTACCCAGATGCGACTGTGGAGTCGACAGACAAACCGTACGCCACATAGTGGAGGAGTGCGAGATAAGAGCTTACGGTGGAAACTACTCCGATTTCCTGACTGCTGATGACGCTGCAATAGACTATATAAAGTACGTCTGCTGGATCTGTCTATGAAAGGAATTCGGACAAAAAACATTTAAATAAACAGCAATATATTTTATACGTCGACTTGATGAGTACGTCACCGCAAATCGCTCCGCCCACTCATTTTATTAGCTACTTGCAAATTTGTCGAATTTATATTGATGGGACGCGTCGTCTAATTTTTTACGAAAAACATCGAGAGAATATCGTTTCCCCTCTCACGGATACTCCTTAGCTACAGAACGGACAGACGTACTGTACGTAATCTTGACGTTTGTATTTAATCTCACTGTATTTGTCTCCTGTTGCGCGTATTTTGTTTGTGATATACCGTGTTCTTTTTTTATTTATATATTTTATATCTTTTTGTATTGTTTATATTTTTACGTGTATTATTTTGTAATATCTGTTAAACGATGCGCTTGCCATACGATAAATAAATAAATAAAATATATCTCGTATTTTCGCTCTTTAGTGATATATAATAGTTGATATTATTAATTATTCCGTATGATCGAAAAAAAAAACAGCGCAAAGTTGGCTCAGACATGATGCTGCTTTTTGAACAAAGCGTCACAATATGATATGGCCAGATCTATTGTTTTCCATCACTTGAAGTTTAAAGTCCTAGGCTACTGGTTAAAATCAAGAAAAATATACACTTTAAAACTAAATCTCAAATAACTTAAACACGATTTATTTTAGATATAGGAACATGTATTGTCAAAAAGTAACGAAAAAAAAGTGCGTTTTTATTTGAAAAACATGATTTTCAATTCTATAACAGTTGCGGCCATTATTATACGATATATTCGAAAAATTTAATTTTTGAAATAGATAGCCACATGTTTTCTCTTTATGGCACAGTGTCTGTGGTAATCACTAAATTTGACGTTTAGGCTATATACATATTTTTGACAGGCAGTTTTTTTCGTTCAAAAATTTTAAATATTTTTTTTCTCAAAAACAGTAAATGTCAGATATAGAGTGTTTAATATCAAAATTCATAAAATTTTACAGAGAATTTAAATATGTAATAAAAAATGGAGGCACCCATTTAAAATAAGAAAGTTCCAGTCAACTTCCGGTGTTTCCGGAAGTGCCGCCATATTGAAAATATTTTTAATAGATAGATCTCGTTGAGAAACTGTGGTGTGCAAAAAATCTCCGAGCTAGATGTTGTTTGGTTTGGTTTGATTTGGTTTGGCTAGATGTCTCTACCCAATTAAAATAAGAGAGTTGCAGTCAACTTCCGGTGTTTCCGGAAGTGCCGTCATATTAAAAATATTTTTAATAGATAGATCTCGTTGTGAAACTGTGGTGTGCAAAAAATCTCCGAGCTAGATGTTGTTTGGTTTGGTTTGGTTTGGTTTGGCTAGATGTCTCTAGAAACTTCTGTATAGCAATGCAAAAAAATTGATATAATTTATGCAAATGTTTTTTTGCTATAAACTATTATTTTTTTCAATAACGATTAAAATTTGGCAATAAATGTTAATAAGTAAAAAAATATACGATTTTAAAATTTTAACGTAAAATTTAAATATACAGTAATTTAAATTATTAAAATAATAAAATTGACACATATTACTGGATATAACCGAAAGCAGGTACTAACTGTCATTTTGTAAATTAATTAGTAGAGATGTCCCATTGACATTAAATTTATTATTTTTTTCATTATCATAAATATTCCGATTTTTCCTAAATTTATTACTCTTTGCTATTGAAGTAAATAACAAAAATATTTTACTTTTTTTAGGTTATGAAATGTGGTGGTGCAGTGAATGAATCATATCATTGTTTTAACGACTATGGAGGTCCAGTTATCTATAATGGAATACAGTATGGCCAAAGAGAGTATGGCATACAGTCCTACGTCTACGCTCGTGCTGATGCAGACTACTTGTGTGGAGCGTTTCCAAGCATTTATTCACCAGTTTCCTACTTTAGAGAGTGGATCAAAAACACAACTGGCATTTAAAATATCTTAAATAGAACATATTTAAATAAATAAATTGCATTAATTTATTCCTTGTATATATTTTGCCTTAAAGCTTCATTCAGGACCTCGAAATTAGTAGAAAAAAATTAGTATCAATGTAATCATTCAGAACGTCAAAATTAGTAGTAATAATTTTCAATTAGTAGAAAAACTATCATGTCATTTTGATTATCCATAAAGAGAAATTGTGTTTAGAAATAAAATGTTTATTGTTTTTAGGCTTTCTTTTTAATAAAATTGACTACCGCAAGCTGTTGCGAGGACATTATATTAATTTTAATTTTATTTTTTTAGATATCCTGAATGATTTTATTATATGATATTGCATTCGTGAATGGTTGTAAACTCTTAGGTATAAAGTATAACTGAAACAATTAATTTATTCTACTAATTTCGAGGTTCCTTTGTCGGACACAAAGTTAGACACTTTGTGATTGGCTGAACCTGCACAGTCCCGTATTTAATTTATGTCTATATCTACTAAAATTTTAAAGCAAATTTAATCTTGAACATTATATACCGTTCAATGGTGTGTCCCAATGAAAAAATCATCTTTAAAAGATACTCCCCCCCCTCCCAGCGTTAACAAATAAAATAATTATAAAAATAATTTTATCTTCAATATTTATTTAAGAGAACCATTTTTTTAATCTTCAAACCAAGACCTGAATATTCTTTCATTACTTGAGCTCTGCATTTTAGCAGGATTCTTTTTGCAGGCATTTTTGAGGGCTAAACGAGGATTAACTTTAACTAAACGCGGTTCGTAAAGCCATGACTCTGTCCAGGTCTTCCATTAGTAAACATATGAGTTTATCGGACACCTAAATTTGACATTAAAATATTAAAAAGTATCCCTTTTTGCTATTTGAAATAAAAGTTTAGACTATTCTACATACACGTAAAGTTACGTGTATGTAAAGTTACGTAAACTACTTCATAAATAAGATACAAAATTTTTAACTTGCCTTACAAACTATCTCACCACTATCTTTAACAGGCAAAAATTACGAAACACAAACATGTAGTCACTTTCTCGAATTTTAAATGGTTTCAGGGTGACAATTGTGGCAAAGAAAATGTTATAGAACAAAGCGGAAGAATTGTCAGAATTGAGTTTTTAATTATTTGAACCAATACTAAGCCATATTTTTAACTTATTTCCCAATAAATACGTTTTGTCCGACCACTGCACTGGTGTATGTCCGACTACTGTCTAATTCACCCTATGTCTCGGTTACTTTGCTCGGTTATCAGAATTTTTAACTCTATGGTTATCAGTCAGTAGTTATAAGTTAGTTTTATTTATATTTTTTTAGATATTATCTGCTGAAAAGGAAAAATCTATATCTAGAGTGGCAGATACAGAGGGGGGGGGGGCTATGGGGCCCGCCCCCCCCATAAAATCTGTAAATTGGGTTAAATCTTAGGTTTTTTTTGGATTAAAAATGGCACCCTAAAAAGTATATTCTACATTACTTTTTATTTTGACCCCCCTAAAATAAATTCCTGTATCCGCCCCTGTATATCTAGGTTAAATTTAGGTTTGTTTTTTAAGGACCGTTTAGACTCTCTGATAATTATCTCTGAGCCAATTTGTACAACAGAAACTCTGAGCCAATTTGTACAAAATTTGCGCAAACTTATTTTTTCCTTTACACATTCTAGAAACCTATAATATACCAATCAATTTAGTTTCTGAATTAGATAAAGACAAACGAAGAAATGAAAAATTAGAAACAAATTTTTAAATAAACTAATATTGATAATAATAGAGAACAACGGCCTACGGCCGCGTCAGCCGCTGCTAATACGTATACGTAGACGTAAAGCATCTTATACATGTAAAAATATAAGAAATGCGCGTGCGTACGTAAACGTTTACGTGTTTGTAGTCTGTGCCGTTGTTCTCTATTGTAGCTCATAAAATGCGGTATACCGCAAAAACACTCAATATAGGATACACTTAAACAATTTTGTGATATTTTGATAAATATGCACTTGAAATGCTTAAAATATTCGACTTTAGCGATAAAATCAGATTGTGTTTATATAAATTGAAAAAATCAATTACATACTCCAGTCGCAAGGTAAAAATGTTAAAATTAACTCAGTTCGTTGTGTTGGCTTTGGCCGTTTGTCATTTCGGTCAAGTTTTGGCCATAGAAGGAGGTGAACCAGCTGCTGATGGCGAATTTCCTTATATGGTATCTGTGAGAGACTCGCGTAATAACCATATTTGTGGAGGTACAATTATCGGAGATATTTGGATTCTAACATCTAGTATTTGCAATACGAGAAGTTGGGGTGGATATGTTAGGTAAAAATGTGGATATCAACATTTTAACTTTTGGGTTATATATTTCAGAAAACATAATATTTTAATACTTTTAAATCGATAAAATTATGGTTGGAATTTTATCAATCAATTTTCAATATGAGGGCTGATATTTTAGTCAATTTCAATAGCCGGGCACCAGTTGTCTACACATGTCAAATCTACACGTGTAAATTTTTAGTCGCTTTTCTTTGTTCTATACAGGGCGGTCCAAGCTTTGTTTCGGAAACTTCGATAGCATATTTATTCTGCTGATAAAAATGAGTAAAAAAGTTCGTATAAATGTATGTCCAAAAAAGCTTAATTTCGGAGATACAGAGGGTGTAGAAGTTTCATTTTTATTTCGATTATTTCTAAATAATTTCTGAAGTAACGTCAATATTTGGATGAAAATTGGTGTCTGGGAGTTTTTTGACATAAAAAATTTGATTTTTATGTCAATATGGCTCCTATTTGTAAGGGGTGCCACCTACATGTGTTTTAACTGTTTTGTAGGGTAATAACAGTTCGTCCGTTCCTGTATAAATCTACTGAGTAAAAATATAGATTTCTGTAATTTTTTACGTAAAAAATGTCTCTTGGTAAAAATCACTACGAGCAACCGTTCTCGAAATATTTGTAATGGAAATTTTTTTGCAACGAATAAACATGTTGAGTAGATAGTTATTTGACTGAAATGATAAATTTAGGGCCTTTTTATTTTTTTAAATTAATAATAATATTTTTTACTCACTAGTTTTATACAGGTACGGACAAAAAGTTATTTCTCTTCAAACCAGTTAAAGAAATATTTAGGTGGTGCCCTCTACAAAAAGTTTATATTGACATCAAAATTAAATTTCTCATGTCAAAAACTCATTATTGAATACAAAAATATTGAAATTAGTTCACAAATTATTTGGAAAAAAGGGAAATAAAAATGAAAATTCTACACCTCGTATCTCCGTTAATTTAAACTGTGTGTCAAAAACGAATAGTTTTTGAGATATTTCGAATCAAAGTTTTCAATTGTGGATTTCCTGAGCATAAAATACCCTTTGAAAAAAATCGATTTTCAATTTTTTTAACTTTTGGTACTTTTTTTGCCTGGAACGTGTAAAGGGCTTTAAAATATGAATATTAAGACCAATTTTGCCCCCTTTATAAGTTATCATGTATTTAAAAAATTCACGAAAATTTAAAAATTGATTTTTATTTCTTTTTTCTCCTCCTGTATAGGATTTTTTGGTAAACTTTGTTATAGTTTACTAGCGGCCCTTGGCCGCTTATTTGTGTCCAGATTTGAGTCAAATCGAACCAATAGAAGCCAATATATAACGGTTTAAAAATCCCAACTCAAGTACAGTACGTCTGCTGGATCTGTGTCTATGAAAGGAATGCAGACAAAAAACATTTAAATAAACAATGTCGTATTTTATACGTCGACTTGACGAGTACGTCACCGCAAATCGCTCCGCCCACTCATTTTATTGGCTACTTGCAAATTTCTCGAATTTTTATTGATGGGACGCGTCGTCTATTTTTTTACGAAAAACATGGAGAGAATATCGTTTCCCCTCTCACGGATACCCCGTAGCTACAGAACGAACAGATGTACTGTACTCCATTGGCAAGTGTATGGATTTAAGTCAAATTGGACCTATAGATATATAAATAGATATATAAATAGAATATAAAAAAAATATATATAAAAATAGGTTTAAATTAGGTTTATAAATAGGTTTATATTATAGTGGGGGGTATAAAATAGATTTTAATATAACGGTTTAAAAAATCCAACTCAAGTACTCTATGGGCAAGTGTATATCGATTGACTTATGACATTATATCCTTATGATTTTATATCCGTTAAACTTTGCCGAAACTAAGCGTATTAGGACATACATTTTTATCTGCAAAATATGCTGCCGAAGTTTCCGGAATACAGTTCGGACCACCCTGTATATCTGCTAATATCCTATATTTTATTGAATATCTATGTCATATTATATACCTACTAAAAACGCTTTGCAGTCAAAATATGTATTCTTTAAACAAAGTTTATCTATCATAATAACAAAGTATTAGGTAAAATATAAGATTCATATTGGATTATTTTCATACAGGTATGGATCAAATCTATTGGACGATAATGGTCAGTTGCCTGTGAATGACAGTTTAAACATTATAAAAGTAAATTATTCGATGTATAACGAATGGGCTTCTGACCTTCCACCCTATACACACGATTTGAATTTAATTCGTCTCGAGGAACCTATACAATTCAGTGAAACGGTCCAGCCTGTCCAGCTGCCAGTTTTGGACCAAGAATGGCCATATAATCAAACAGCCACGATCCTAGGTATATTTATTTATGGTCTAACAGTTTGTGTGTGTTTCTGAACGTATATGCAGAATGCAGATCATAGTCTGTATTATATTTATTTTGTAGCTAGGCATATGTTGTTTATTATTTTATAGTTTATAGTTCTATAATTATACTTCTTTGCTAAACTTCATTCGCAGCAATAGATTTAAGATAATTGTGAAGTTTTATCAGATGCTTACCGACTTCTAACATTTTTCTGATTAGATCATAAATATCTAATATTTTCTTCATGGATATCTCATAGGATATCTAAGATACATCTTTTTTCAATGTAGTATGTCTTCATCCTTTATATCTTACCCAATAAACTTCTCCGGAAAAGGCATATTAAGAAACAAGGCAAAGCCACAAAGGCTCTCATGATATGCAGAAGATTGGCGGGAAATAGATAGGCTGCGCCCCTAACATTTTGCGCTGGATGTATACCATGACAGTAAGACTGATGATTACATATGGAGCAGTTGCTCGGTACACAAAACTAGAGCCACGTACAGCAAGGCAAAACCTGTGTAAAGTACAGAGACTGGCATGCATCTGTATCACAGGTGCTATGAGCATATGCAAAACAGCAGCAATGGAGCTCATCTCCCAGTGGATAACATGCCAAGAATTTACAACTTTGAAAACAACACTGTAGTAGTGAGTAATAAAATGGATTGGAAGAGAGAAACGTTTGCTCAGCATGTAAAAGACCATACCATGACGTGGTATGTAGAATGTTTAGGAGTTAATCACCGCGACCTTATAGATCTATTGTGTTTCCCCCTTTCTTGAGTTATAACGGGTTATAACTCATCATACAGTCTCAGGGCTTTAAGAAAAGCCAGTATCTGAGACGGCTCCACAGAGGCCAGCTCTCCATCCTCGACATCAGATGTACCAAGGTTCATGGCACGAATGGTCGTCGTCTCGGCGCACTCAGTGATAAGGTGTTCTGGTGTTTCCCCATTTTCCCCACAAAATCTGCATTCTCCGTTGTTTCTCAGTTTCAGCCTACTGAGGTGTTCGTTGAGGAGACAGTGTCCTGTTAGAAACCCCGTGACAATCCGAAGATTGTTTTTACTTAAATCAAGGAAAACCTTTGATTTTTCTCGGTCATAAGTTCTAAGGAACTTTTTCGAGTGTCTTAGACCGTTGGAGGACACTCATTCCAAGTTACGGATGGAGTCTTCCAGATTCTTCAGTTCCGCTTTCAGTTGGTTCCCGTTTGGAAAACAGAACGGTTCTGGTCCAGTTAGTGGTGTGTTCGCTCCTTTTCTAGCTAGATCATTTGCTTTTTCATTGCCTTCTATCCTTTGGTGAGCAGGCACCCAGAGTCAAAAAAGTTTTGACTTTATTTTCTTTGCCTAATTTGTTGAGCTTCTCTAGGCATTCTTTGACCAACTTCGAATTGACGGTTACTGAGTTGATCGTGTTAAGTGCTGCTTGACTATCGGATAGGATGGCAATTTCCTGTTTTCGATAGTTCCTATCTAAGATAAATTGTACGCATCTTTCGATAGCGCAAATTTCTGCCTGAAGGATACTGGGGTAGGTGCCCATTGGTTCGGAGTATTCAATTTTCGGCCCAAATACTCCTATCCCTGTCCCTGCTTTGGTTTTGGAAGCATCAGTATACCACGTGATGGTATGGTCTTTTATATGCTGAGTAAGCGTTTCTTTCTTCCAACCTTTTTTATTACTCAATACTACAGTGAGGTGTTTCTCAAAGTTGTAAATTCTTGGTATGTCATCCACTGGGAGTTGGAGAAGTGCAATTTTCTTTTTGAGGGTGTTCCAAGCCCCTGACCTGAAAATTCTCCGAGTACTGTTTCCGTCAGTAACCATTCTAATCATTGTCGCATTGGCATAACTACCGACGACAATGTGCAGTGGTGTTAGGTCTAGAATGACCTCCATTGCTGCTGTTGGACATGTTCTCATGGCACCTATGCTGCAGATACATGCCAGTCTGACGTGGTATACTAATGCTTCCAAAACCAAAGCAGGGACAGGGATAAGAGTATTTAGGCCGAAAACTAAAAATACTTTGAACCAATGGGCACCAGCATCCTTCACGCTATCGAAAGATGCGTACACTTTATCTTAGATAGGAACTATCGAAAACAGAAAATAGCTATATTAACCGATAGTCAAGCAGCACTAAAAGCGATCAACTCAGTAACTATCAATTCGAAATTGGTCAAAGAATGCCTAGAGAAGTTGAACAAATTAGCCAAAGAAAATAATGTCCTCCTACTCAGGGTATCAGCCCACTAAGAGATAGAAGGCAATGAAAAAGCAAATGATCTAGCTAGAAACGGAGCAAACACTCCACTATCTGGACCAGAACCGTTCTGCTTCCCATGTGGAAGCTAACTTAAAGCGGAACTCAAGAACCTAGAAGACTCCATCTGTCACTTGGAATGGGAATACTCCAACGGTCTAAGACACTCTAAGAAATTCCTCAAAACTTAAGACCGAGAAAAATCAAAGATTTTTATGATTTAAGTAAGAACAATCTTCGGATTATCACGGGGTTTTTAACAGGACAATGTCTCCTCAATGAACACCTCAGTAGATTAAAGCTAAGACAGAACGGCGAATGCAGATTCTGCGGGGAAAATGGGTAAACACCAGAACACCTCAACACTGAGTGCGCCGAGACGACAACCATTCGTGCCATACACTTTGGTACGACTGATATTGGAGATGGAGAACTACCCTCTAAATCGTCTTAGATACTGGCTTTTGTCAAACTCCTGAGACTGTATGATGATTTATAACTCAAGAAAGGGAGACACAATCATATCACAAGATCTATAAGGTTGCGGTGATTAACTTTCCTCTTCCCGCAATTCTACTTCAACAATCTGCTTAAGATTAATATGAGGAACTATATTTTTTTATTTGTATTCTTTCAATCTTCCTTCTAGAGCCAGTTGAATTTCTTTGAGTCCAGATCACCTTAAAAGTTTTTTGGTGTTTCTTATAACTAAAGTTATAACATATCATAATGTTATCGGTTATCTTTAGGATATCATATTAGGTTCAGATTTGTAATTTCCGAACTGTCCAGTTGGACAACAGTGAAAATATTTATGTCATTTGTATTAATAATAATGTTACTAAAGTACCTATATTCTATGCTTAACTTTCCTATATTTGTGCCAATCTATGTTACAATAAATAATTTAAATTTAAGGTTGGGGCAAACCTCATTATTGGAGAAGCCAGGTGCATCTTCAAAAGGCTAACGTTCCATTATATACGGACGAATATTGTCATGACTACGAATTTGAAAATTGGAAAATTCCTGATGTTTTTGTAAGTTCTCTTAAATTTTGGATTTTTTTGCTTTCTTAATGGCTCAAAAAATATGAGCGCCTGTGTCTCGACAACATAACTTTTTATAGTGTCTTTTTGTATAGTGATATTTTGTATAACTGTTAGAGACGAGCAAAACTGCGATTGCGATTTTTAAATCGCTGCGACTATAACCTGCGATTGCGATTTTAATATTTAAATATTATACTAGGGATATAATTGTCTGTGTATGTACCTATAGCTTAACAGTTAAGAAAAAGTTAATAAAAATCAGTTGCTTAATTTTTTTAACATCTGAAAATTTAACTGGAAATATCAAATGTGTGGTAGGTACCAAATTATTCTTAAAAAAAGTCTTTTCTAAATATGCTAATGAACCCCCATCGTTCCATTTGAAAACATTGAGATATGATTAAAAATACGATTTGGGCATCTTTTAATCGGCCAAGGCCCGTATTCTGTAACTTTGACATAAAAACATTACGCTTTCAAAGCGGCGAGCGCAAGTATTCGATCAGCGAAACGCAAGGCAGTCGATTTTGGTATTCTCGTTGCCATGCGAATCGTGTTCTGGATACGCGTTGAGCACATATTGGCAACATCACAATTTCTAATGTAGCTAATAGTCAAAAGTTGATAACTGACGGATGTAACAATGAAAAATGTCAATGTTACGTGAATGTCATAACCTATTGTTGAGTTATGTCAAACTAGGTTTCTCTGGATATGTCATTATCAGTCATTATTCTTATTATACGAGGGAAGTGTTGAAGACTCTTCTCAGCATTTTCGATGTTTTGAACAATATTTATAGCTGCCAAGTCGTAAATTATCAATTACTTAATGAGGAATTTACAGAAAAAGTAGTAATTTTCACTAAAGAGCAAGATAACGCACAAAATCACAATTTTTTTTATTTTCACTGACAGTTCGACAAGCAAAACGATCCTTTAAAGCAACCGTTTTCAAAGCGCTCAGCGCAATCAGTAAAGACGCTAAGCGCGTCAGACGAGAATACCGAAATCGTTAATTAAGTGCGCGCTCAGCGAAAATTAACGTCATATACGCTGAGCGTCTAAAAGCGCTTAGCGTTTTCAAAGTTACAGAATACGGGCCCAGGACAACACAGGAAAAATAATACACAATTAAATCTTTTTCCAAGGATCCTTGATTAAAAATTATATTATTATTACACTCTACATTGAAATTTAAAATACGATTTTTTAAGCGTAAATGTCAAAAGTTGATATAAGATAACCATTCTATTCAGAGAGTGTCATTTTCTATCGAATAAAGTAAAAAAAATACCGAGGGTACCATTTAAAATCAAAAGTTGTAGTCATTTCCGGTGAAACAGGAGGTGATCGAAATGAATTGAATACGTCAATCAGTCCTAATTTATGTCGTATGTTAACATACCAAATCTCGTTTTTTTATCTTAAAAAATAGAAAGGGTATAGGGGCAAACCACTCTTGAGAAACACCCGGTATATTATTGATCTTGGCCCTAGAAAAAAATATCTTCTCTATAAATTAATAAAATCAGAGGAAAAATTCAATCGCAGTTTACAATAAAATGTTTCAATGGACCACAAAATTACATTCACAACAAAATCGCAAATCGTAACTCCTAAAAATTCAAACTCGCAGATAGAAAGTCAAAATCGCAGCAAAATCGCAACTCGCAACTATTGTAATATTGGTTGCGTGAATTGAAACTCGTTAATACTTAGGAAAAATCGCAGTCGCAGTTTCCTATTATAGCAATCGCAAGTTGCGATTGCGATTTTAAAATCGCTGCGATTGAATCGCGGTTTGCGATTTGTTACTCATCTCTACTAACTGTAGACTTAGAGAATCTCTAAATCGACTCTTAATACGGGATATTATATAGGGGACGGATAATTTAAAAAAAAACATTTTTTTTTAAATTTTCAAACTTAAATAACTCGGTTATTTTGGACTTATCTGAAAAATGGCAAAGAGAAAATATGTTTCTTTTATCGAGATCTACCAGCCCTGAAAATATTTGCACTTATTTAAGACTCGCCCTGTATAACAGAAAGTACTGTGATTTTGCAAATGAATTAGTAGAGTTTTCCCATTGTCATTAAAAATTATATTATCAATAAGAAAATCCGATTTTTCCTAAATGCATTACTATTTGCTACATAAATATTTAGTTAACAAAAATACTCAAAAATATTTAACTTTTTTTAGGTTATGAAATGTGGTGGTGTAGTAAATCAAACATTCCATTGTTTTAACGACTATGGAGGCCCAGTTATCTATGATGGAATACAGTATGGTATACTGTCCTACGTCTACAATAGTGCCGATGCAGAATACGTGTGTGGACAGTTTCCAAGCATTTATTCTCCAGTTTCCTACTTTAGAGAGTGGATCAAAGAAGCAACTGGCATTTAAAACATCTTAAATAGAATATATACATATAAATAAATAAATTGCATTAGTTTATTTCTTGTTTATATTTTTACATGTTTTCCTTAAAGCCTCATTCAGAACCTCGAAATTAGTCGAATAAATTAGTGGTGGTTCTAATTGGCGTACAAGTTTGTTCCTCTTTTCTGAATGCTTACAATTCAGAATGTCAAAATTAGTGGATTAATTTTCAATTAAGAAAAAAAAAGTTAACAAACTTTTTGTTAACTAAAACAAACCAAAGCCAAACCAAAACTTTTTACACTAATTATACTTCAAAATTTGCGAGTAATGCCATTTTGATTATCCACAAAGAGAAATTGTGGTTAGAAATTAAATGTTCGTTTTATTTTTAATTTAATATCTATCTATCCTAACTAAAGTAAGGGATGTTAGAAGTGAAGTAGCAAAATTGAAATGGAAGTTTGCTGGTCACAATGTCAGACAGAAGGATGATCGATGGAATAAATGCATCGTAAACTCGAGGCCCTGGGAGAATAGAAGAAGTAGAGGAAGACCCCAGATGAGATGGGCGGACGATCTGAAGAAACATGCAGGCACAAGATGGATGAGCACGGCGAGAGAGAGGGAACAGTGGAAGAGATTGGGGGAGGCCTATGTCCAACGATGGACCGAAGAGGCTGAATAGATAGATATATCTATCTATCCTAATCCTAATCCAATCTATCCTAATCTTATAAAATATTGTTTTATAAGATCAGACTTACTCTATTAAAAAACCAAAGTAGGGACAGGGATAGGAGTATTTAGGCCGAAAACTAAATACTCCGACTAACTGACTACCGCAAGCTATTCTCTTAGGTACGACTCTTAGGTATAGAAAACAAGAAATGTTGAACACATATACCTGGGCATACGAGGCTTTGGGCCTGAAGCTAAACATTGACAAAACCAAAATCATGTGCACTCCCCCGGAAGATCACAACAATGCTATAAAAATCGGTGAAGAACTATTGGAATATGTGGCGGAATTCAATTACCTCGGCAGTTTGATTTCGGAAAAGGTCAATATTGACTCTGAAGTTCAGCACAGGATTAGCAGCGCCTCAAGAGCATTCTGAAAATTAAAAGACAGGGTTTTCTACAATCATGACTTCAGTACAAAAACGAAACTTGCAGTGTACAGAGCAATTATAATCCACATCATGGTATATGGGAGCGAAACCTGGGTGCCGTACCGCCGACACATGAACGCATTAAACAAGTTGCAACAGAGACACCTTAGACAACTCTTAAGAATCCGGTGGTTCCATCATGTCTCAAATGTATCGGTCCTTGAAAAAGCTAACTGCGAGAGTATTGGAGTCATGGTTACAAAATCCCGCTTAAGATTGGCTGGTCACGTATGCAGAATGCAAGAAAACCGCATACCAAAATCTCTGCTTTATGGTGAGCTTGTAGAGATAAGAGAAGGTAAGAGGAGGCCGGGTGGACAACTGAAAAGGTACAAGGGCATTTTCAACGAAAACTTAAAGGGGATTAACATGCAAAATGAGTGGGAAGAAGCAGCTCACAATAGAACTTAATGGAGAAGAGTTATAAACTCAGTTAACAGCGACAACCATAAAGTAAAGAGGCAACAAAGCAATGAGATTTTTGAATGTCCGGAATGCGGTAGGCAGATAACATCACGTATCGGGCTTTTCAGTCATAGAAAAGCTCATGAAAGAAAACGCCTTGCGTGACCATCTTCTAATGTGTGTCGAATCAGCGAGTCATGGCAGTCAGCGAGTAATGGCAGTAGTAATAATTGAAACAATTAACTTATTCTAGTAATTTCGAGGTTCCGAATAAAGTTTGAATATGATGATCCACATCGAGTATTAAACATATCTTACTATGTCGTCCTATATTAATATTTTGTAGAAAATGTGTTAGGTACTACTTTTAAAATAATCACTCGATATCTATAATTAACATTATTTTTTAGTATTTAGTAAAACCCTGATAAATGGGGTAAACCTGGGCATTTCAACGAATTTTATCTTAAGTGTTTTTGTAAGTAATTCTTAAGTAATCAATCATTCAAGTTGAATCTATACTTCGAATAGGAGAGGGATAACAAACTGTAATATATCAAAATCATAAATTCTTTATTATTTCTTATGTCAAAAAACATTTGTATCCAAATATCGAAATGAAGCATTTTAGGACGCATTTATACATATTTAGGAGCAATTATACGAACTTTTTTACTTACTTTTATCGGTAGAATATGCTGCCAAATTTTCCCGAATACAATTCGGGCCACCATTTGTAGTATTTATTACTGTTTCCCGTGGTTCCAATAGTGAGAGTCAAATTTGGAACACCCTGTATATTTTATTACGTAGCTATTAAGTTGATCGTAGTAGAAGAAAATATTTAAGTTATTTTTCTACAGCTCAAAGTTTAAATAACCTTATTATAAATTAGCACAGGTCTCGTATATGTCTCGTTTATCAGTCAATATTATAATGTAGTAGTTTTAAATCCCAACCTAAGCTAATTTTAAAATTATTTTGATTAAAAAAGAACTCCCTTGAAAACTATTTGTAGATCACTTATATAAAAGAAAGCTCGATACCTGCTGAAACGGAAAAATTTATGACAATCAGATGAGACATGACAGGTTTATTTTTCAAATATAATAAAAATAGTGGGAATAGTGTCTTTGTATTTTTCCGTAAGTTTTAAAATGACATATTATTTTTCATGTTTATCTAAAATGTAGATATTTGTTTAAAATGTGATATTTTATTGTATTAATTTAAGAAAAATTACCAAGAACTAGTAAACAAGTAGAATTTCCTTGCTACAGTAAAAAAAATAAAGAAAAATCTAAAACTCTAAATCTCCATTCGAATCTCGAATTTAGTGGAATAAATTAATGGTTTCAATTAGCCTAGAACTTTGTCCCCCTAATTTCAATGTAAGCATTTAGAACGCCAATATTAGTGGTAGCAATTTTCAATTAGTTTAAAAAGTTAACAAACCTTTAAAATTATCCTCTAATTATATTTTTTACACATTTACAGAATTTGCGAGTAATGTCATTTTAGAATTAGAAATTAAAAGTTGGTAAAAGTCATACCACAATTTCTCTTGACCGATGATAATCAAAGACTAAAACTTCATTCAGAACCTTGCAATTAGTGGAATAAATTAGTGGTTTCAATTACACTTTATACTTTTTGTTTAAGTTTAATTATCTGCTGATGATGTTAACATGGTTAGCGAAACGCGCGTCCAGTGTAAAAGTAAAAGTGTTTTGGTGTATTGTGGTGATTTAGTGTTTTATTTGGCGTTCTGAATGCATACATTCAAATTACAGGAACAAACTTCTACGCTAATTGAAACCACTAATTTATTCCACTAATTGGGAGATCCTGAATGAAGCTTTAAATGACATTCCGCACAAATTCTGAAGTATAATTAGTGGAATTAGTGGATTAAAAAGTAAAAAGTTTGTTAATTTTTTCTACTATTTAAAAATTACTGAAATTAGAGGAACAAACTTCTATACTATTTGAAATTAAACTACTAATTGATTCCACTAATTTCAAGATTCTGAATAAAGCTGAAAGCCTTATACATTGCTTTATAAAACCTTAAAAAATGTAACTAGATATAAAAATGTTTCCTTAAATGCCTCATTTTCTTAAACACTTCCACACGATGTTCTAAACTTTTGTCAAAATATGAACATTCTGTTTTTCCTCGTATAATAGAGGGAAAAATAGGAAGTTTCGTGTTAAATTTAGAATGAATATAAAAAATCAAATATCTTAACTACAAATCGACTCACAAGGAACAAAATATATTGAACTTTCAAAGTCATGAAATTTTTAGTGTCTATTTTTCGTGCTGGCCAGTGAATATAAATTTCGTGAACATATAGGTTTTTTATATATCATTTAAACAGATAATAATAGAATCATTTTTTGATAAATGCCTACTGTAACTTAATATTTATAAAATAAAAAAAAAACTTACAGCTGACATGGTGGAGTTGAGGAGAAATCTGTAGCAAGAGAAGCACAACACAAAGATCAAGTGACTGAAGCAATTGGGGCCTTCCTCTGGCTTTTATTCCCAATACAAAAATAAACATTTTACTGCCGCGATTTTCAGGCTTTATGACCAAAGTAATTTTTAACGGCAGTCTTATATTTTGTATTTCATTTTGAGTAAACATTGGGCTAAATTAGAATACATGGAGAGCAAAAAAAATGCATACCTTTAGCTGAATACAAATTATGATTATAAATGTGATTTAATATCCACTATTATTAATCTGTTTATTTATTGATTTTTGTTCTGTTATACCGGGTGCGTCTCAAAAGTGGCTCAGCTATAACTTTTTTTATTTTATCAGATAAAAAAACGATATTTCGTGTGTTAGTATATGACATAAATTAGGATTGATTGACGTACTCAATTGTTTTCTGTCACTTACTGTTTAACCGGAAATGACCGGCAACTTTTGATTTTTAAATGGCACCCTCGGTATTTTTTTATTTTATTCTATAGAAAATTACATTCTAAATAGAATGACATATCATATGTCAACTTTTGACATTTTAGCTTGAAACAAAATTGAATTTTAAATTTCGATCTAGAGTGCCATGGCCGTGTTAAAAACACTAATTTTTAATCAAGGAGCCTTGGAAAAATAGATTTGATCGTCTAATGTTATTCGTGTCTTGTCCAGGCCGGTTAAAAGATGACCAAATAGTATTTTTAATTATATCCCATTTTTTTTAAATGGAACGAGGGTGGCTCATTAGCATATTTGGAAAAAGCATTTTTATACGAATAATTTGGTACCACACACTTGGTATTTCGAGTGAAATTGTCGTTATGAATCGCATGTTGTAATTTCAAATAAACCATATTTGAAAACTTAAAATTGACATGTGATATGTCATTCTATTCGGCGTGTCATTTTTTATCGAATAAAGCAACAAAACACGGAGGGTACCATTTATAAATCAAAAGTTGTAGTTATTTCCGGTGAAACATGAAGTGACAGA